AGGAGTGTGCGTTTCAATGCTGCAATTCGTCTGCCTGGGACTGAGCCTTTCAAGGGAACCAGGACTACGGTGGTGGGATACACGCCACGGGGTCACAGGAATGTGACATCAGAATTGCTTGAGGAACTTGGCAGTCTGGGTTTTTTCGATGAGAGAATGCAGAAGCTTGGAAGCATCAGCTAAGCAAACGGCAGTGAAGCATGCAACACTCCCACATGCGGCAGCGGCAGGCTAGAAGCAGAGTGCAACAACAACATCCCCGAACTCCCCTTAACTGAAGGAAGCAAGGGATCTTCGGAAGATGATGCAGTTCAGGGCGTGGTGAATGGCGTGCAAGGGATCCAGGACTTTTGGGGTGTAGGACTTCAGGGTCTAGGCGCGGCTAGCGCGCAAAGCCCCGAGGATGAAGACGAGGGTTCTCGTGTGCAAGGGCTCATGGCTTTTGAGGCTGTTGCTGAAGAGGTCATAGACCTTACTGCTCCACCTGAGCGTCCAGGACATGACTTGAAGGACTTTGAAGCTCGCGACCTACGCCGCCCGCATAGGAAAGTTGCAGCAGATCAGATCTCCAAGGGCGTTTTGTCAATAGACTTGGCAGGGCCGTATGCTGCAGCTTACGATGGATCGAAGTATGCATTGGTGGCTGTTTTCAGGGTTGATGAGAACTTGCAGTTGCACTTCATGCGACCGATGAAGCGAAAACTGTGGGCGGAAATGTTTGAATCCTTGCAGAATATCCTGGCTCAGGTGGCCTCAAGTGGTTAGGGTTCACTCGGATAAGGCAAGCGAATTCTTAGCCCAGAAGGTTGTTGAAGGGATCAACTCTATGGGAATCTTTAAGACGACGACGACGGGGTATGATCCACAAGCAAACGGATTGGCTGAGCGTACCGTCGGCCTTCTGAAGGAGCGTGCCAGGGGTTTCTTGATTCGGGGTGGTTTGGACCGGAAGTTCTGGCCACAGATGATGGCTGAAGCTGCTCGTAGGCAGAGGGACTCAGCTTTGAATCGTCCGCATCAAGGAAAGCTACCAGAGCCTGGTGATCACGTTAGGAGCTGGGCCCTTCGATCCCAAGGTTGAGCCGGGTCGCTTCATTGCACAATCGGACACGGCGGTACAAGGGGCTTTAGTGCTTGTCAAAAGGGGTGGCCAGGAGCACTTGGTTACAACACGCTTGCCTGCGGTGATTGATAAGAAGCCGGAGCTGTGGAGAACCCATGTCACGCCGTTGGGGGATTTGATTTGGGTGAGCTCTTCAGGGCAACTTCGAGACGGAGAGGCAGTCAGGGATCTGGGTGTGGATTTGGGTTTGCTGACTGTAGAAGAGCGGGAACAAGGGCAGCATCCAGAGCAGGGACTACCGTT